GGGCTGCCGCGCCTGGAACCGCAGCCGGGCCACGCGGTGTCTCCGGAGGCGTCGCACGCTCGGCCTCGTGGTTGGCGCCGGCGGGGCTCCGGTCCTTCCAAAAGCCGACCGTGGGCGAGTCTCCTCCTCGGGAAAGGCGGCGCGTTGAGGCGAGCGATTGTGGCGTCTTGGCGGGGAGTTGCTCTCCGACAGCCGCTGTTGGAGCCACGCTCTCCGGACGTTAAACTAAGCACCGCGGCGGAGCGTCGTTTCCCGCTCACCTGTCACGCTGTGCCCCCCTGGGAGGAGGAGGGGGGGCTCCTTGGCGCGGGAGCCTCCAGAAAAGGGCTGTGGTGAAGAGGGTTTGTGTTAACTAGAGGCACCTTTCCATTACTGTACCTGGTGTTCTTCACATGCCTTGCTCCATAGTGGTGGTCACCCCACGTAGCTGTACTGTAATTATTTTTACTGTTGGGATGATGGGAGTTGTAGTCCGGTACCCTGAAGAACGTTTAGGTTGAGGTTCCAGATTGGCCCATACAGAATCTTGCTCTCTTTAAAAAATGGGGGTGGATTGGGGGAGGCATTTGCTCGTTAGGATCTCCTCTCTCATGATCTGCAGCCTGCCATTTTAAAGGCTCTTCTAGGTTGTCTCTGTACATGTGAACAACTTGGCTTATGCTGGTTGAAAAGGTGAGGAAATCAGGCAGTAGTTTATAACTTACGTGCCCTAAGTTTAGTCAAAATGGGCGGCGGAAGGGCCTAACACCGAGGGAGGCCCAAAGAGAAAGAACAAGAAAGTGGGACTTCTCGGCAGTGGCCCCTCACCTCTGGAACAGTTTCCCCCCTGAAATTTGTCTGTCTCCCTCGCTGGGTGTTTTTAAGAGCCAACTCAAGACCTGGCTCTTTAAGCAGGCCTTCCCTCCTGTCATTTCTTAATTTATTGTTATCCTTATGGTTTAAATGTCATTGTTGATTTTAATTTTTATTATTGTTTGTTGTTAGCCGCCCAGAATAGACTTTGGTCTAGATGGGCGGGATATAAATTAAATACATAAATAAGAGGAATTGATGGGTGCTTTGCCAAATTAATACCTGTATATGCTTCGCGCACCTGCTGTTGGAATCTTCTCAGAGCAGAGAAGCCTCTTGCAGGCATTATTGTCTTCTCCCGCTTGCCATCTTTCAATTAGCATCATTACATGGGTTTTCTGATGCAGACATCAGGCAGGCATGTTATTAGACTGGAACTCCCATTAGCCCTGGCCAGTATAGCCGGTGATGAAAGATGATAGGATGAAAGCTGCGGTTTAGCAGCAACTCAAGAGTGTCAAGCTGTTCATCCATACTCATTGGAAATCCTTACATAATTACAGTGAAAGCATAATTACAGTGAAAGCAAATTTCAGTATGGATGCAGGAATATACAGGTTCTTAGTATTTGCTGAAATTACAGATGTGTGAAATTCTGTTGATTAGGTTCAGTAAAAGTATTCTATTTGGGTCAATAATTGTTAAGAAGGGAACATATATAGCAAAATCCCACCAGTTAATTCCTGTAACTGATTTTCATTTTACTTTAACTGATACCTTATTTTGCCATATTTAATTGGTTGTTAGTTCATATAAAAATGTATTTATGAATGCATGGAATGTTCTACTAATGGGGTGTACATAATACAGCTGTCACATTGCTGCTGCCCTTCCCGCTCTCATTGTGTTTCTAAAATGTGTGTTTAGAAGCTCCATGTATGTTGCATTGGAGTAATTAAACAAAATTAGGTAATGAACCACTGAAGCCAGGCTGTTTCTCTCCAAATAGCATTGTGTTGGCTTGCAAATCCAAGCTGTTAAAAAAAGGTCAGTTGTGATTCTACTGACAAGCGTGGCTCTGCAAGCATCCCTAAACTATGAGACTGACCTGTTTAAGGGAGTGCAGTCCTTTCTAGAACAGATGGAACAAGACTCATCGAGAAAAACAAGACACCCACTAACAGTGCATGCGTCTTGTCTAGACTTGAATTTCACTTTATTCACCCTCATCCAGGCCATTATCACAGATACTGATTAAGCATTCGCTCTCTCAGCTTGAGCTGATGAAAATGAGAGAGAGCTGTATGTCATAAACATCCCAAAGGAGCTGTGCTCTAAATCTCTGGAAAGCCTCACTCAGCACTTTCATGTTCCAGAAGGGTGGGGATGGGGCAGGGGCATTGCAGGTGGAACCATGAAGTACAGATGGCATGGGCTGGAGCAGAGATTGAATACTACTTCCTGAACATGGAGTTATTAGCAAAATTGTACCACATAATCCAAAGCCTCTCCAAAGAAAATGTTACCACTGATGTTGAAGAGCTTGAGATCTCTAATGAATCAACAGGGTCACATAAAGAAAATGTTACCACTGATGTTGAAGAGGAGATCTCTAATGAATCAACAGGATCACACTCACCTGTGTCTCCTATTGAGCAGCAACAGTGACAAGAAGCTGAGTTGTTGTTATAAACAGTCTGAAGGCAAGGATGAGTTAAACCTTTATCAGATCACTAAAATAATCAGGTCTTCATCCGACTGGCTACTGAAGAGCTATGGATGATGCAGAAGAAACATAAAAAGTTGCCAACAACACTGTAAGATGTGTTTGTGGAGTTCCCTTCTTAAAAATTTGTTTCAAAATGGGGGCTGCACAGTCAAGTCAGAGGTGTAGGTTTCAGACTCCACCTCTGGTGATGTTGGTTGTATAGAATGCTTCTCCCAGTTTTGTTAAGACGGATTATTGCCATTCATTCCACTTCCCCTTCCTCACTGACAGAATAGGTAGATGTTGGTACCTGCCAGAAAATAGAGCTATGATTTCCATAGTTGGTTATATTTTCTGTCCATTTTTTCCAGATCAAAACTTCTGCTTGGGATTTTGCAGCTTTACACAGTTCCTGTCAGATTGTGACAGCATCTAATATTGAGATGCTGGAAAAATGCATTAGAGAAAACGCTTGATTGCCATTAGAGAAAATGTTTGATTTTATTGATTGGGAATCCCATGTGATAAATGGTTTGATTTTATTGATTGGGAATCCCATGTAATGGATACCTACATGTAGCTCACCTGGGAGAAAGGCCTAATTTGGAAGGCTTGGTGGTCTAGCATAGGTTTTAACACATTAGACAGATATGAAACGAAGTATTAGGCTGGTATTAAAACAGGCAGCACGAAACAGAAATAGCTGTAGTTTCAGTGATGTTTTCTAAGGAGAGGGAACAAAAAGCTGTTCCACAATTTCAAATAGTGTTATATAGTTATTGTAATCAGTTTGCTTGATTAAATTATCAAACTAATGATTTTCTCTTGGCACTCCGCAGTCCAGAAGCGAGCTCCTAAAAGAGGAGAACAGCAGGGATGGAATGAAAGTAGAGGTACGGAGGTAAAACAAGATAAAGCTGAATGGAGACCTTTCAGGGAATACCGTTCTCATGAAATGGAAAGACAATCAGAGATGACAGTGGAGAGGTATGTGCTGCTGCAGAATATGTAAACTGGCCCTTGAAAGGACTTTGAGTTCATTTTATGGCAAACCTTCAGCTAGCCTTGTAATCAGTGGCTTCAGGAGGCAGTCCGCAGGGCCACAGTCTGACCTACACACAGTTATATTCTTTGTGATTTGTTAGTTGTCCCCTTTTCATGGGATATGGGGTTTCTTGTTGCTGCTATTCTTTTACTGAATTTGCTTTGTTATTTGTATGGACTATTTATGTGAGCTGGGTGTTTTCACCAAGCAGCTATACCTGCTATTTACATATATGTAGATGATAATTCTGGATGCCACTAGTAAAATTATTGACCTGTTTATCGAAGCAATGTGTAACAACAGTTACAGAATTAACAGTAGGGTTGCTGAACTATGGTGTTGTCTAACATATGTGGGTACCCTGCTTCTCCTGCTGAGCCTTGTACTCTATTGGGTTTAAATATTTGGGATTGTAACTAAATAGTGGATGGAGCCGTCCCTCCTCCTTTCCTCTCTGCCAATCACTCATCTACTATCAGAGGACCAGGCAGCTCTTCTCAGAAGTCTGAGCAGATTGCCTGCAGAGGGCTTTTGAAGGCAGATTTGAGGTCATCTGGTTTACCATGTATTGGCTTAATGTACATTGTTGTCTTTAAACATAACTGTCTCTAGACTGGTGGAGCAGCATTTGGACTTGAGCTCTTGTAGAGTTGGGATAATTGTAGATGGTATTTCCTTTTGGAACTGTCCTCTTTTGTACCTGGAATTCCAGCTTGTCTGAACACTGAGAGTAAAATATTAATTCACCTTGTAGAACTTTTGAGCAGCTCTTTAGGGAATAATTCATATGGATAAACTTTGGTTGTGGACTTGGAAAGAAGCTTAGATTTGCTTCTGGTATACTTGGTGAAAGTGGCAGAAGAACAAGTTGTGATTCCTCATTGGGCTGAAATGTTGCTATTGTAACTTTGATTTAGTTTTTTAAGTTTGGGAGGCAGAAGTATCAAAGCCAAGGTTAAACAGGAATTGAGCTGGTATTTCTGTATAATAACTTGGATTTTTATGCATTTATATTGTTTTTTCTTTTGTATGTTAGAGCAAACTAAGTATGTTCTCTTTCAGACCACTAGAAAGAGTTGAACGGGAAAGGCCTATGAGAGGTCGTGGCGGGGGGAGAGGTGGAATGCGAGGCAGAGGAAGAGGTGGTGGAATGAACAGGACTTTCAATGGCTTTGATCAGAGAGGCAAGCGGGAATTTGACCGGCAGAGTGGGAGTGACAAAACGTAAGTAATTTGTATGTGTCTTTTCGGTATCTTAATAGCATCTTAGCAATACAGTGGTGCCTCACATAACGAGTGCACCGTAGAGCGATGAATTCGCTCTATGAGGGCGGTTTTGCGAGCGCAAATGTAATCGCATACTGATGCCTCATGGGAGTGACAAAACGTAAGTAATTTGTATCTATCTTTTCAGTATCTTAATAGCATCTTAGCAATACTTGGTTTCATAAGAGGATTATTCGTAGGAGTGATATCCTACAGGGCGGTTTTGCGAGCGCAAATGTAATCGCATACTGATGCCTCAATAGGGAAAAAATCGGAGAGCGAAGGTCGGTAAGTGGTTCGCTTACCGACCTTCACTTTGCGACCTGCCGATCAGCTGTTTGGCGGGTCCAAAATGGCCGCCGGAAGCTGCAAAATGGCCGCACGCAGCGTTTTTGCGCCCTCGTTAAGCGAGGGGAGGTCGCGAAAATGGCTGCCGGCCATCGGAAAAACATCGCTGAACGGTGAGTACAGCAGCCGATTGGAACACATTAAACACTGTTTAATGCGTTCCAATGGGCTTTTCTGCCCCGCTCAGCGATGTTTTCACACAGCGAGGGTTAATCTGGAACGGCTTAACCTCGCTGTGCGAGGCACCACTGTACTTGGTTACATAAGAGGATTATTCGTGGGAGTGATATCCTATACATTTATATAGGCTGCTTTTGTGCAGTTGTTTTTATATAAGAATCTTAGTTTCCCAGGTGAAAAGAACTGAAAGAATTATTATTTCTTTCTCTAGAGGAATCCGAGCAGAAGAGAAAAGAGGTGGAAGTGGACCTCGCAACTGGGGATCTGTTAAGGATGATCTGAGGTATGATCATGTATTCTAGTGAACGCCCTAGAACATAATTTTGTTAATTTGTCATATGGCCTTTTCTTGGCTCTGCTGCTTTCCGGGCTCACATCCTCCTATGTTTCTGTGCTCAGGGAAGGCAAGGAAAAGAAGCCCAGCATAGAATCTGAATGAGGAACGAAGGGTAGCTTCACAAACTGCTGGCACATGACCAATGGGGGAATGGAGCCTTCAACATAAAAAGAGTCCATCCCTCTTATACTTTTTTTTCCCAAGTCTGAGGAGATTATATATAACAAAAGAGTAAAATACATTCACACTAGGCTTCAATTTTTCATACAGATTTATCTGCCCCCCCCGCCCCAAATTCTCTCTATGCATATTTAGCAGGGTTGATGTTTCCTTTAGTCTTGATTTTTTCAACATTTTTAGCTTTTTGCCCTTTCCACTGAATTTAGAACCTAACATGTTTATGCCAAATGATGTATCAGTCTTATTTTATTGTGCAATCTGAATCATTATGATGGATCTTGCCTAGTGGGAGGACTCCTGTCTTCTATGTGCAAGTCTCCAGGACCAGCCCTTGGTATCTCTTGAATGAATTCTGCAAGGAACTCCCAGGATCACTTTTGCTCAGGCCCCTGCAGAGGAGCTGATTACAATACTGCCTTACAGTATTTGAGCAGGCAGTCCAAATTGTTTGAAAAAGTAACAATGTAGCCTTTAAAAAAAATAGAAATTGGATGTTTTGAAAGCTGAAATTGTTGGTATTTGAGCATGAATCTTATTTCTAACTTTATTACATTTTTAAAGCACAAACTGGCAAAATTGTCCCTAACACAGGTGTCATAACACTCATTTGCATGCTGCCATTGTGCCAGAGAAGAGCTAAAGAGGCAGATTGGAGAAATATACAGTATTCTGGATTTTTATTAATGATTAATTTTAGTGCAATTATTTATCTTGATGTAAAGTATTATTTATCCTGTGATGCATTGTGCCAGCTGCAGAGAATAATATCTTGTGCCCCTCCCCCCCAGACACTAAATACAGTTATTCTTCCAGATAGTCCTGTGGTCTTCATCACACAGTGCAGTCTTTGATTTTCGGTGGCTTTAATGGGTGTATTAATATCCTACAGTGAGCTGGAAGCACCTGCTCCTATGGAAGAAATCGCTGAAACGGAAGAGACTCCAGCAGTGCCTGAGGGAGAAGCACCGATCAAGTATGAGCTAATTTTGAATATCTTGCGCCTTTTCCCCCAAGTCACAATTATAGATAACCAGGCATCCTGCCAAGCAGACTAGATTTTCATGTGGTCCCATCTAAAAATAGAAAGCAGGGGTGATACTGGCAGATCGTGACTACAGTGCTGGCAAGAAGGTCTATCTTAACAGCCTAGTCTTAAAGAGACATTTGCAGAGCTGAAGTTCAAGCTACTGCTTGCACATATTCTTGGAACTTTCTCTACCAGACCTGGCTGCATTGTCAGGTAGCTAGCTGGGCAGCTACATGCAGCCTTTTTGTTTTTGCACTCCTGGGCAAAAACTGGAGGTTTGCCAAACTTTGCTAAATTAACACAAGTGCTTAGCCAGTGAGGTGCATCTGTCTTGATGAGTTAGAGGTTGAACAGGTTTATTCTACACATAACCAGTTTTGGGGATCTGTGAAGCTATGCGTCTGCTATCTTAAAAGCCTGTATGCAACTGTCACAGGACAAGAGTTACACCAAAATGTTTGGCCTGCTCTCTTAATTCCTTGTTCAGGAACTTAAGAGCTTTCGCCTCTATTGTTATTGGAGACCTTACATTGCACAGCTATGTGAGGTAGAAATCTTGAGAATTAGCAGGAAGTACATTTCTGTTAAGAGTCTCTATCATTTCTCTGATCTATAGTTATTGTGGCAGTGGCCAAAGGGTCTTAACGTATTTCCAGTCTAGAATACCCTTTGGATGTCATAAAAAACTGCTACAAAGTGGCTCATCATATTTTTCACAACAGTGATAGTAGTTACCGTGCCCTATTTCTTATCTAAATTTTGGTTTAGAGCCTCTTGTCTGCAGCTGAAATCTAGAACCTGTTTTGTTTGTTAGAAAACTTCTCTCATTCTGAATTCTCATGAAATATCAAGGTGTAAAATACTGTGCTCTCTTTGATGGGCAAAGTACTTTTATTTGATTTTTTCCCTTGCTTGTCATCTGTTAAATTGCTTAAAACATACATAAAGTGTTTCTGATTACCCCTTTTTCATAGCCTGATCCTTGTAGTGTGTTCCCTCTTCATATAGCATGGGGTGGTTAATTTTAGTGGGGAGGGGGTGATGTCTGTCTTTAAAATTTGCAACAAGCCCATAAGGGACGGCTAAAGGGAAGATGTGGCTGAAGAAGCCTATTTACATAATTAAGTTTTTAATTTTTTATTATTGTTGTTATGATTATGATGGTAAATGTTGCTGCAGTGCATTTTTGGTAACTTACTAATGGGTTTAACTAAGACTTGAGTTTTTAAATCGAAAAGCCCCATTAGGTCCTCTACAGGCCAAAATAAAATCCAAGGTTACATTTGAGGAGTATGTGGAACCATAGGGTGTTGGTAGTCACTCAAAACATGGCACCAATTGCTTCCTCCACTCCTTGGAGGGCACAAAGGGCCTTTCCAAGCCAGAAAAGAGACATATCCTAATTCTAATATGTTCTCTCCGAAGTGACTTCTATATTTTGGTTTAGACTTTTTCTAGGTACCATAAACACCTTCGGCTCATCAACTGATTTTCCCTCCCAATCTTTTTCATACATGGTTACTTTTTTGGTTTTGGTAGCTTTCTCATTCACTTCTGTGGTTAGAAAAACATCTGTTCGTTGTCTCTCCCAAGTTTCTGTCTCCTTTCTCTCCCTCTTCTGTTAATTTCAACCCCTTTAACGCTTCCCCTGTCTTGTGCTTCACCCTCTCTCTTCTCCCTCACGTGCTCCCGAATCCAGTTCTTTTTCTTCTCGTGCCTAATTCTGCCTCCTTTCCTTTTCTTATCTCCCTTTCCTCTTTTACCTCTTCCTTTTTATCTTTGATTTCTTTCTTTCCACTTGATTCTCTCTAGACCGCTGAGGGGATGGCACACACTCTGTCTCCTATTCTGCTTTCCTCTCACATCCCGGTATACACATTAGCTTTCTTCTGAATGAAAAATATGAGTAGGCTGGAAACAGGAATTGGTCCTTGAATGCACATTTTTCATGCAAGTGTTTGAAATAATCTCTTCTTCTGATTGAGGGCTGTATTGAAGAGTATGCAAGCTAAAAACAAGTTATTTTCTGTGATCTGATGCAAGCATCTATAAAATATTTTTTAATTTAAAAGCTTTTCAACATGGTATATCAAACCATAATGGGCATTTTTAAAAAAACAACTCAAGACCTGGTTATATAGACAGGCCTCCCCTTCGGGCATTAGTTAACTTACCTCTTCTTTTCCTCTATTTTTAACTGTTGTCTATTGTATAAATGTTGAAAATTTTCAATATATATTAACTGTTTTTACTCTTGTGTTTTGTAAGCCGCCCAAAGTAGACTATGTCTAAATGGGCGGCATATAAGCTTAATAAATAAATAAAAATAATCTACATATGCCTTAAGATCAGATCAAAATCATCTCCAATTTTTTTGAGACTGTATAGAATATCTGTAATGCATGGGAGGAATCTGCTGCAGTATGTTTTTTTTGCTGATCTTCACAAGTTTTAATCCCCTTTTCCTGTGGAGACCTCTTATTTTATATTTCCTTGCTCCATTCTGGGTTTTCAATATTTTCATATATCTTATTTTTCATCTATCATGGAACTCAAATGCATTTTGCATTTTTGCTATATAACTTAAGATGAGTTTCAAACAATATTTGGAGAAACAAAGGAAAATTCCGGGGGTGGGGGGGAGGCAATGGTATTCAAGCTCATCTTTGCTATCTTTTCAAAGCAGGCAGACACCTTACTCTTCAGGCAAGCTTTCCCTTAATGACTGGCTGCCTGGACGGGATTTTTAAATAGATGGCTTGTGCCTTACTGCTTTGAATGCATTTTTGTGTTACCTTTGTTTACTGTTTTATCTGTTTAGTCCTGTCTAGAAATTGCACACTTACTGTTTTTAGTTTTCAATATTGTCTTTTAATGATGTAAGCTGCTTTGGGGTCCTTCTTAAGGAGAAAGGCAAGGTAAAATATTTCAAATAAATACATAATAAATTAATTTTAATAGCTTGCCTTTAGCAGCCAGTTTTGATACCCAACAGAATTACAGCTACAGCCCATCTTAAGGAGAAAGGCGAGGTAAAATATTTCAAATAAATAAATACTAAATTAATTTTATTAGCTTGCCTTTAGCAGCCAGTTTTGACACCCAGCTGTGTGGTGTAAGTGGCAACAGAATTACAGCTACAGCCCTGAAATATCCATATTCTTTTTCCATTCTAGATCTTAATGAAATTCATAAAGGTACCTGTCTAGACAAATATATACATCTGTTAGGTTTTGTCAGGCTTATTACGTTCAGGAAGAATGAACTAGTTCTGTTTTTCTTTCATATGGCAGAATTCTGATGTATGTACATGTGAAGCATGGAAACTAGTAAAATGTTTGTTGATTAGTGAAAGTCTAGAACTTATTAATAAGGCAATGGACATGTACTTCCTAGAGGTTTCTTGGGTGAGCAAGCTTGCAGTTTGTGCACCAAGTACATGAAGATCAATTTTGATTACACACACATAGTATTTTTATTTATTTTATTTTATTAGAATTATACCCCACGCATCTAGACAGATAGTCTACTCTGGGCGGCAAGTCTTGCAGACTTGGTTATTAGAATTATACCCCACGCATCTAGACAGAGTCTACTCTGAGTGGCAAGTCTTGCAGACTTGGTTGCTAGAATTAGTCACACTGTAGCTGAACATATGCTCCTGTTATTATAGGAAAAATAAGCCTTTTGTGGAGCTCTGACATCCTGCATGATAAGAAGAGTGGTAGAACCGTATAGAACAGCCTTTCCTCAGTCTGGGACCATCTAGATACTGTTAATAACAAGTCCCGTTATCCCCAACCAGCATCGCCTGTCATTGGAGAGATGGGAGTTGCTGTTTAATCACCTAGAAAGATTCTGTATCATGGTTACCTGATCTACAAAACATAGACCGTAAAGTCTGGTTTATGAACAGTTCCTTAATAATAATTTTGCTACCAATGACACAGCAATTGAATGCTACTGCAGTGGTAGGTTCTGGGTTTTAGTGCCACATGTACCAATCCCTGTTGTAACACCAGAGTTTTCTGTGTAACTGGAGAAATAAGAGGCAATCATCATCAAATTCTTGGAAATACCAAGGTTTGCGGAGATCAGAAAAGAAAAAATGAAAAACCATAAAAGGGGCAACCCCGGCGCATCTGATGCAGACTGAGCATGCTCAGTGGCCATGGAATGTTGAATGCTTATTGTGGATGGAAACCTGGGTTCAAGTAGGAGAGTAATGGGAATGGAACGGACGATTGTTGGAGAGGACATGCATGATGGACTGGCTAGCACACTCCACACTGCAATATGTCATTGCAAGTCTCACTTGTGCAAAATTCTCTCTGCTGCTGTTTAGAAATGTAGGTTGCTGCCTTCAGTGAAATTATACTGCACCTTTCAGTTCCTGGCATTTCACAGGCTAATGGTTTTTACTTTACAACTATAAACCCTTAGAGTTGCTGAAGGAGAGCCAGTGGAAGAAGTAGCTCAAGAGATGACGTTGGATGAGTGGAAAAATCTTCAGGAACAAAATCGACCAAAGCCCGAATTCAACATCCGGAAGCCTGAAACCACTGTTCCTTCCAAAGCAGTGGTGATTCACAAGTCAAAATATAGCGATGATGTAAGCATTAACTTAGAATTTAGAGGGTTCTTCCTTTCAACCCTGTGGTAAAATTTCTGGCTTTTCAGTATTGAAATTCATACTTTCTAAAAAATCTGAAAAGATATCAACACATTGTTAGAACATGCAGTTCAGCGCCCTGAAAAGCTGGAGATTTTTTAACTTCCACTAACACAAAGTTCCTTTTTTACTTGATGGTTCAGCTATAGCAAACAAACAGAAGCATTTTTGTTCCTGCTTCTTTGTGGCTTTTGCTGGCTATGGAATAGCAGTTGCTGCATTTCTTAGTCTGTAGCTTGCAATCATGCACAGAACTCTAATTCTCTGCTGCACTTGAGGATAGGGACTAAGAGAAAGGAGTCATAGAAAGAAGGGGTGCTCCATCTACATTGCATTCAGCTGAAGGCCATGCATAGAGCCTTCTACACTTAAAAGGGTTTGCATTTATGATATATCCACATGATCGGGGACCTTGATTATGCAGACAGAGCCTGCGTATTGGTCTGGATCTAACTTTACACTGCCATCCAGTTAGCAATACAGTGGATTTTTCTTCCTTTCCATCACAGCCCTTTTCATAGCAAGAAAACCAGCTCTTTTATGACACCCCCTTTTTGAACAGTTTTCAGAAATACATGAGGGGGAACAGGGATTGTATCCCTCTTAGTTCTACTGATGGAAACAGTTATGTCCTACAAAGACTCGGCTAGCAGAATACATTATGCCATTTTCAGTTTTGCTGTGCAAAGAGAGAACAGAGCAAGTCGTAGGTTAGGAAGATGAGCAGGGTAGAGGGGAATTCCTGTGTCTTCACCAGTTAGAACTCACGAGTAACTTGACGATTTCCCCCAGCTGCCAGCCTTCTCCGTGGGGAGGAACCCCATGTTATCTCTGATCAGTGATCAGAGAGAATCCTGAGCTTCCTCCTTCCCACTTGTGTTCTCGGAGCCGTGGATGAACAGGCTGGGGCAGGACAAATGAATAGAAGAGACCTTGAGAAGATGATGTGGGCTTGTGGCAAGGACTTTGTCTAAGCTCTCTGAGCCTAATTTCAGCTACCCAGAGGTTGTCCTCTCCTGAAGTAGGTCGTGGACCATGTTTTTCTTAGTGGTGGTAGCAGGAGAGAAAACTTACTCATATCAAAGAGGCTGGCTTTGCTTATTGGGCTGTTAGTGGCAGTACATGCTTATTATATTAGGCTTGTTGTTCACTGTATCAAGTTAATCTGTGTAAAAGCTGTGTTAATAGTCATAATACAGTGGGGTCTTGACTTAAGAACAGCTTGAGTTAAGAACATTTTGACTTAAGAACCACTCTCATAGGAAAATATTGACTTGACTTACATACTTAGATTTGAGTTAAGAACTGAAAAAACCCACGTGGAGGCAGGGAAAGTGCAAAATTTGAACTTTCAGTTAACTGTTGGCCAGTGAAAAGGGTGCCTGTCCGCTTCCTCACTCCTCCCAGCGTTTAGAGAGTGGTCTTCAGACTGCCTGGTACTGCCTGGACTGTATTTTCCCTGCCTTCCCTGAACCTTTCTTGACTTAAGAAAAAAAGAAACAAAATATCTCCCTCTAGTGGTCGAAGGTAGAATAGCAGCTTCCCATTAGTTTCTATGGACGGAAAAGAGCAGATACGGATCAAATGGCTTTCAATGCATTCCTATGGGAAATGCAGATTTGACCTGAGAACTTTTTGACTTGAGAACCACCTTCCAATACGGATTAAGTTCTCAAGTCAAGACCCCACTGTACTCAGTTTGAAAATAGTGTTACATAGATTGTTTATGCCATATCTTGCTTTGAAATAATTGCAGGAAAGCAGCTAATATATCAATATAATAAAATGTAGCACTTTGAATATCAAATACATTTGTGTCATAACAGATAGCGATTCTGATTTACAATTTCACTCTTTGAAGACAAAATAGTTTTCTTTATTTACACAGCTGCAGAGAAGACTGAATAATAGAAAGAGGTGTTAAGGATATACTTGTCAGTAATACTGATTTTTTTTAATTGAACGTACAAAAGCCAAGGCAGTGTAAGGCCACAGAATCTGGCAAAAATGTAATACATTTATTTCAGCTTCATTTTATGCTTATTCATTGCTGTGATACTGAAGTGCTTGGAGTACAGCCAGCAGCAGTGTATCATGGAGTGATCAGTGGGCTGATAGTTGTGATCCAAAACATTGGGGTATAGGAGTAAGGAAGGCTGATGTATGTAGACAACTAGGATAGTAAGTTGATACTGGACATTATTGGTACACCTTGTAGAAAAAAATGTTAGTATCAAGCAACCAAAATAATTATTTGGAAGGACGTTTTGGGTGCATCTGTCCACATCTCAATATCTTGTGGGTTCCTGCTCTAATTTTGCTGCCATCTTTCGCATGACAGATGACAACATGGGACACATCCTCTCAGTAGAAGTTCCAGTGTTGCAGAATAGCCTCCAAAAATCTGTTTTGATTCCTTGCTTCTTGTTTTTAGATGTTTGGTTCAGCTGCTCTTCTTTCAGAGACATCTAGGTATGCTTTGGTTATGGCTGTTCTTTTCATTGTTCTTTTTTTGTGTGCTGTAGTGCCTTTTGAATTTCTTACAAGTTAGATTGGATACCTGTTGGGTCAAAAGTTGGGTGGACGTATTGTCATTTTTGCCTGTAACTGTTATTTTTAGTTCCTTTCCAACAGCTTCTAGGAAGCCTTCAGTGCTCCTTTAGATGTTTAAAGAAAAGCCAGATGGTACACTTAGTGTTAGCAATTTCTGTTCTAGGTGCTGAAGGAGGATGGTGAAGACGATTCTCACTTTTTTCGAAAAGCAGCAAATGACATCACTTCTCAACTGGATATTAATTTTGGGAGTTTGCCTCGCCCTGGACGTGGAGCCAGAGGAGGACGAGGCGGTCGTGGACGCGTCCGTAGAGTTGAGGACTCGGGACCCAGGGCAGAAGTGATGGTAATCATTTCACATCTCTCCAAAGCCATCCTTACAAACCCAAAATGGTACCATCCACTTACAACAGGATGGTCTTGGGGAAACTTTTAGTGCAGTGAATTTTGGGTTTGTTCATTGGCCGTGGAAAACCTACTTAAGAAATGGCAGAAAGTGTACATGTATTGGACTTAAAATGAACAGTTCATTGTCAGCCCTACTGGTGCTATCTATTAACAGTCAGTTTCTCTTCCCTGATTAAGTACATTTGGAATATCAGGCAAAATCCAAAGGAACAAGACAAAAACATGTGGCACCTTAAAGACTATTATATAAAACAGGGAGGAAGGAGTTAGCACAGACTAACATGGCTACCTCTTCTAAAATTACATCCAGAATAAAGGCACTTAGTGTACAGAGACAAATAATTCAAACAGGCATAAACAATCTTAGATTTCAATTGAAAAAAGAGAGATTCCAAACCGAGATAGTATCTAGCTTGGTTGCTTAGTAGCTCCCAGATTCTCTTCAGCCATTTGCTGATCTAAAGAAATGACTGGGACACTTTAATTTTCTATGGGTTTCACAGTGAAGTATGGATTTTAAAAAATGCCTGGAAGTAGAAGGGCTCCCTAGGGGTATGAAGGTACGCAGCAAGAAAATCTAAACAGCTAGATTTCCTTCAATGTTTGCATCTACCACCAGAAGGCTCACATGTGTGGATGGCAGTTTAGGGTTCTTTTTAGAAGAGTACATTGACATGAACTGTTAAGAGAATAGCAGTGAGGGGAGAAGACTGAATTTGGAATTTTAAAAATGCAGTTATCTCACTTGGTACCCTGATCCTTCTTTTGACAGTTTTAATTTCACAACTCAAAACTGGTAGAACAGGCTAAAAGAGAAGGCCTGAGCCAAGGACACCCAAATGAGCTTCATGGGCTAAAATCTGGAATGTACTTTCATTGGTACATCATAGATTTTCAGGCTTTAGGAATTCTTAAAATCTTAATTCTTGTGGTCAGTGTGCTGGAAAAACTGCATGCCTGATGTACACTGAAGCCACCCATTTATTGTTAAAACAAGTGGTTCATGATGTAACAGGGCCTCCTGCTGTTAGACAGCAACGGTCACTGGCCCTAGTCAGCATAAAGGGTGTGGGGGTGCAGGAAGGGAACTGTAGCCCAACAACAGAGAAGTGCCTGCTGCAGTGGCTTAATACTCTGGCCATGACCTGAGCACAGGACCAAGGCAGAAAAGGTGATGGACAAAATAACACCTGAGTCTAGGACAAATAGCTTAGAACTATCTATTTTTTTCTTCTTAGATGCACATCACTGCACCAAACCCTGATGACCCTGAAGATTTTCCTGCTTTAGCTTGAAAGAACCATCTGGCACCTCCAAAATAGCTGTGAAGATACCAGCTTTACATCGCTGTGGAAGAGAATCATTCTGGTCTACAGAGAGAAATGACTTTTGTGTGTGAATTTTCCACTTCTATTATGTTAAGAGCATAGACATATTCAGTGGGCCAAGATATGAAGGTCCAGTACCAACTGTATTTGGATTAGCAGTGTGAAGGCTTATGGTATCATACACGAGAGGTTTCAAATAAAGGTTCAAGATGGTTCTAACAGGTACAAAAGGATGATTCTTTGTCTGTGGTGTTCCGGTATAAGCTCTGTAAGATGATCCGTTTTGGGGACTTTATGGCAAAACTCTGTAGATGCTTCACAACTGTTTGCCCAGCTTCATGGAGTGAAATATACCTTTGCCATATCAAATAGTTTGCACAATTTCTAGAAGTTGGCAAATAAAAAGCAAAGCATACCAACCACATGTTTGTTTGGTATTTGGGCTCTTAAATTTTTTATTTACATTGGCAAACAATTGAAATTATCTCTTTTTTTGGTAAACCATCCATCGGCTTTTGGAAAGCGAGTTTTATTACAACCTTCAGCGTGTTGCTGAGGTTCTTTCTGTATGAGACAATGTTCCTCCATTAAAAGAGCACTGATAAAGATTAGACTAGAGATGCTAGTTTTTCGTTTGGGACTTTTGCTTTTCAAGGAGCCGTATTCTGTTTGAGCCTAACCTAAAATTGGTGACACTAAGATATGACCAGATTTAAAACATTTCAGTGTGGACATAAACCGAAGATCCTCTCTATTATTTTTAGGTTATAACCTGCTAAGTATCACCTGGCACTCTCCTGGATTTGTTTCTGTCATTGCGTTAAGTCAAGGTTTTGCTAATACCTTTAATTTAGTTTAACCACTAAACATTTTCTTTGGTAGCTCTTAAAAGACATTTGGACTTTACTGCTCCTTGCTGAGGGCCTGTTTGTGTCTTGCATTCAGGTATAAATAACTAAATATAACCTTCAAGAGACGTAGCTCTAAGCAGAATTGTTTTATATTTCCCAATAAGAACTGAATTGATGGCTTAGTTGTAGAAAGATCACATATGTTTCACTGGTAAAAATCCACCAAGTCACTTTCCCTTGTAATACATATATACACACACAACACTGTCCATATGAATATTCAGAAAATCTTGCATTCTCTGCCACTCCTGTGGTGGTATAAGTATTACATTTTATTTGTATACAATTATTTTACAAGTTAAAATATAATCAAACTGCACTTGAATGACAGATGCACACTATCAAATTAACCTTTCAAGATAGTGTTAAGTTTACTCATAAAATACATATAGCAAAATAAATGTCTTTCTTTAAATATTAGATTCTTTTTAAAAAATGAGCAGTATCGATTATGCCATATGCTTCGCACAAAAAGATCTGTACAAGAGTTTACAAAGAAGTTGATACAAAACTACATGCTTCTGTCCAGTCTTTCAACAGCACAGCTGTCAATACTGTAGCAGGTCAAAGTTGTGAAATATCTTCACTGTTAACTGATAGGAAATGTGTAGAAGATTATAATATATGCTTGAGCACAGATAAGCAGCATAACCCTGAAAAAGAATGCATACATTCCTTTACAGCTCAGTGCTTGTTTTAAGGTGATTGCAGTTATGTTAACCAACTATTACAGAGCTTAAGTCACTTCATGTGGTAAGTACTGTGGGTAAGGAGGCAGAATGTCTGGTAAGACACCTATGCTAATTGGTTATAAACTGAAGCACATGCATCAACTGAAAAAAATGGAGAATTCTCTGGTTTACGAACTTCGGGTACTAGATCACCCAGAAACCTTGAAAGCTTTTTCCAAGGATAAGATCAGGCTTGAATGGGGCTGGGTGGGTGTTACATAATTCAGTGAAACTTTTGCAGGTGTAACTTTAGACAGCAGATTGCTGCAATGTATGAAATTACTGTAGGACGTCTGTTGCATACTGAGTCATGCAACAAATAATGTGTACATTAACTTCATAGCTTGCAGCAGTTTGCTGCAAGTAGTTATGCCATTTGAGTTGGGCCAGCAGTAGTCTTTTGGCCTGTGCCTAAAAAGAGTGCTGAGTCAAATCTGTAATGTAAGTGGCAAGCATTAAACTCCTGGCAGTACTACTAAACTCAATGGGACTTCTCAGCAATTATGCCTAGGATTGTATGAAAGCCAGTAGCAGGTCTCTTCCATGCAATGTAGGGACATTTTGAGCTTTCTGGAGCAGCACTTAGCAATTGCTAGCTATATAGCAAAACATTTCCTCTCTAGGGGACAAAACAATTTGAAAAAGTGCCTAGTAAAAAAGCATGGCCAATGAGTTCCATTTAAAAGAAGCACTGAGCTGTAAAGGAATTTATGTATTTTTCAGGGTTATGCTGCTTATGTGATCAAGCATACATTATAATCTTCGACACATTTCCTACCACTGGGCTGCTCCTTTTCACAAAGGATCAAATCACAGATGTTGTCAGCATGGACTTATGTTCCATGATACCTGCCTGCACACAAAGAGGGTACCAGATGATGTGTAGCTATATAGAAGTGAAGCATTTTTGCTTATTTTACACTTATCACTGGCTAACCAGATAATTAGTAGAGGTGTGTTCTGTTTTTGGACTTGAGTTTTATGGGAATTCCAGCCAAGAAACCTAAATGAGCACTCCCACTCTGGGTTTCTGAGTGATTTTACCAGCACCATCGGCTCCTCTGGCTTTCCTGTTGGTGACTTGTGAGAAATATGACATTACTGCAGTGCTTCCTGGAATGCACCCTCTATAGAGCCTCATTAGTTAAGTACTGTGACTCCCAGGAAGCAGTCTGGCAGCCTCCTTTTTCAACACCAGGAAAGATGATGCCAGTAAAATAACATGCAACCCCTTCTGGAGGTTGGGAAAGGTAGCTACAAGATGAGTTCATTTGGGTTTTTGGATTGTAATCCCTAACTCACCAAATCTCCACTGTATCAAATGGGCCTACTCTAGTCAACGATTACTCCTTGGTTTCAGCCAATGAGTAATTAAGATGGAGACCCTAAGTATATCTGAAAATGGAATGTTACCTACTTGTCAAATGAAGTAGAATTATGTAGATTTTCCCTTTGCTTTTCATGCTTTAGATATAGGTAAGTACACTTGAATCTCTGACAAAACGTATGGCCATCTGTGCCAATGAGCTTCATTCCATTTTGCACACCAACAGAATATGGCTGGGTAGAAGTTAATAGATAGTTGGGTTCTTTTAAGTTGGCTTCTGGGACACAAACTAGAATTACAAGGGAGACTGCAAGTTTTGTATCCTAAATGTGGTCAGATTATTTTGCTAATACACAACATCTGATGTTTTTAAAAACAGGTAGCCCGAAATTCTATGATAATTCTAATTGATGTGTTTTGGGTTCTTGTGCAAATATCCACAATGTACATAATTCATTTTAAATAAGTCTTTAAAAGTCACCTGAAAATTCAATGAAACATTTGAACAAAGTGAATGTGTGCAATGATATAGCAGCAGAAATGAGGTTTTTTTTTTTAAAAAAAAGTTGGCAGTATTACATTAGTACCAATAATTGCGTAACATAAACATGAAACTGCTCCAAGTATGACAAGGAATATTCAGGAAATGTTTTGAAACAGAACTCTATTTTTTTAAAAAAAATAAAGCAGATGCCCAAAATGAATTTTAAAACCAACACTCACATATTTCCACTCTAACAGACTGAAGATTTAGCTTCTTACCGGCTGAGAGTACTATGGGTTTCCTTATTTTTTCTAGCGGGCCAGATTTTATGTAGCAACATGGAAGGATTTGCTGCATGAAAGTTTTGGCACAGCGCTGTTGTGCTAATTAGTAATGACAAAAGAAGAGAATGCAGTACCGCTGGGTATTTATGGTTAGGAATCATTGTACCAACTCATAGTGCTCTTTCTAGATTTTACTACACAGCTAATTCTGTCGTCTCTTCTTGATCTAAAATATAATGAATAATGAAAAAGGTTGAATGCGTCAGTCATTAGGAAGATGGATGTCTAGTGCAGCTCACCTCCGCACACTCTAGAATTCATTGGGCACTGAATTCTAGTGGTGGTGCATACACTTGAAGGCAGGAGAACACAGCGTGAACCCTTACCTTTCCAGATAGGACAAAGACTTCTGCTTGAATCCTACGAGAGCTACTGCTTGAAAATGGGGATTGTTTCCCCACACCCTGGTTTTAAAAGGCTTTGTGGGGAGGGGCAGACTGCCCTTTGGATTGTTTCCCCACACCCTGGTTTTAAAATGCTTTGTGGGGAGGGGCAGAGTTGCAAGATTGCCCTTTCTTTCCTTCAGCAAAACATGCATGTCTCTGTGCATGTCCAGATGCACCAACTCACAAAGTATTATTATAAACCTCTGTGCATGTCCAGATGCACCAACTCACTCACAAAGTATTATTATAAACATATTAATTAACACAGTACAGGCTTGATTTATCTATTGTTTGTAGTAGGCTTAAAATCATTTATCTACCCTCATATCACTATCAGTATAGGACAGACTATTTCAAGGTGGCTTTAAAATATAGGACACAATGCTTATTGATCTTTACAGATGTTCATGTTAAATAAATAAACACTTTAGGCAGTGGTGCAATTTGAAAAAAATCAACATGAAACAATGAAAATAAAGCACTCTTTGGTGGTTTTAGAAAAATCAGTTGGTGATGATTTAAAACTCCTAAGAAAATTAGGATAATCAAAAGTAGTTTCATAGCTTGGAGCAGGTACAGTTTTAGACTACAACTCCTAGAATTCTCAGTACCATGCTGACTGTGGACTGTGAGCGAAAAAAGTAACTTCTCCAAGCACTGGTCATGTTATAAGCAAAAAGTAATACGAAAAGGTGCATCTTCTCAATGCCTCCCTCTCCATGGAAAGCAGTCACATTGTGTAAATGTGTAAATTATGGAAGAGCTACAACAGCCTCCTCTCTGTGTCTGTCTGTCTCTCTCTCTCACACACACACACAGACACAATTCTTTGTGGTGACAGAAGATAAGTGATTGCCATCACATTTTGTACACTATCATCAAACAGAGAAGAAACTATCTTAGTAATAAGAGAGTTAGTTAAACTGAAGGCTAAAATTTACAGGCCGTTATCTTTACATCTTGGAACTCTTCTAATATTTAAAAAGCAAATCAATCTTACAGTTACAATAACTTTGGGGCATTACACAACCTTCACCAAAGTTAAAAAAGTTTTCCAGCTGAATATTAAAATAGACTAATGCTTCCTCACCCCTTGACATTTCTGTTTTTTTTTTAAATTGCCAGGAATGTCTGTTTAATTGACAGATATGTCTTCTTATCATCCATCTTCTTCAATTCTGATAGTTTAACGCAACACAGTTCTGGTTCTTGGTATAGGAGCACTGTGGAAATGATAAAAATGAAGTTTATGGGATGTCAAATACCAAAGCGTATCTCAATAATTCAGACATTGCTATCAGTTAAAAATAAGCAAGCAAACAAAGAGGAGATTAAAGGACATGGGGAGGGGGAAACCATGAACTACATTACAAAAAAATAAAAAATACAACTTAAACAGCAAGGAAGGCACAGGCCTGCAATGCAGATTATGAATATTAGAAGCCAAGGAAGCTCAGGTTCTTAAAGAGAAAGCAGTGGGATCAAAGTACCATAAGCGTATCTGTTGTAAAGCATCCCTTTTCCTTCTTTCTCTCTGAGGCATCAGACTGTGGGAAAAGTGAGGAGAAAAGGTAAAGAAAAGATTGTTTTAAGACTAATCAAGATTTCAGAGGCTATTTTCTGTCACTTTATTGAGTTTCCAAATTAATTAGAGAATCAAGTACTTACAAATGAATGTTGGAAACAGACTTCTAGGGGAGGAAAGGTCCGACCTTTTAGTTTCTCATAGTTAAGAACACACATCTCTAAATAAGTAAATAATGTTCTCTCACTCTTAGAAGCATGCACTTGGTGTATTTGTTCCCATGCGTTAGATCTGTTTATAAATCCACCCTCAACTCTATTGCATCAATGTAAAATATCGTTTCTTAAGCTGCTAACAATAGTTGGGTTGGAGTTACTTAAGTATTCTTGAAACTTGAGTTCCATAATCTTCCAATCCCATTTTTAGAAGAGGTTGAGACATATGTAACCATAAATCATAGAAGGTTACTGTACACTTTCACACTTCCAAATGGTAGACATACAGTACTGTATCTGTAAAGCAGCTTCTCTCTAGGGTGAATATCCACTCCTGCCACCAAGCACTGAATGTCTGTTGGAAGCAAAGAACTTACAACAGCTGGAGGGAGCTTCTCAACGCATTACAACCGCTACATAAAGGATCTACCAGGCAGAGCATTTAATGACTGAAAGCCTAATCCAAGGCTGGGCAAAATTTGAATTCTGAAATACTTTTGCAAATTGCCCACACATCTTTGGACTCTCCTAGGCTAGTCTTAATTTAAATTGGGGAGGGGGGATTGTCATGCCTCAAAGGCTCTCAGGACCCCTGGGTCCTCTAATACAGTGGTCCCCAACCTTTTCTGAACCATGGACCAATTGAGGGGGGGGCAGAGCATGCTTGTGGATGGGCGGGGCACGCTTGTGTGCATGTGCGGATGGGCAGGGTGTGCCTGCGGGTGGAAGGGGCACCTGTGTGCACATGTGTGTGGGCTTTGCATGTGGGGTGTGTAGGGGGAGTGCATGCGGGGGGGGGAGATCTGTCTCCGCAGCCCAGTCCTGCCATGGACTGGCACTGGGGACCCCTATTCTAATAGCTCCTGAAAACTGTTTTTAAAATTAGAAGTATTTTAGAAGAACCTCGTGGTGCAGTGGTTAAACCACCGTACTGCAGCTAAAACTATGCTCATGACCTAGGCTTCAACCCCAGGCAGGTGGCTCAAGGTTGACTCAGCCTTCTATCCTTCCGAGGTCAGTAAAATGAGTACCCAGCTTGCTGGGGGGGGGGGCAATGTGTAGCCTGCGTAATTAACTTGTAAACCGCCCAGAGTGCTTGAAGTGCTATGGGGCAGTATATAAGCAGCATGCTTTGCTCTTTTTTTGTTTTGTGTTCACTAGGGGGCGCAAAGAGGCCTTTCCAGTTAAACAACCAACTTTTAAAAGTTAAACCATTTCTTCAGTGAAAAAAACTTACTGTTATGTACTGTTATGTGACCTTTACCAGGGGGAGAAAGACCCTGCAAACAAAAAAAATTCATTCCAATCCCTTGGGAATGTTCCTTTGACTGTGTTAGATTTCCACACTCTTCCTCTATTACACATTAATTCAAGCTATACTGATCAGGTGTTGGTGCACTGTGGCATATTTTATATGGATAAATTTGCTATTTGAGAGACTGGGGTAGGAAGGAGAACAGTCCCCTATTTCTCTTCCTGGTTGTGTGCCACAACACTGCCTTTCCTAGAGGGATAGTGAGACTACAACTAAAATCAGCGTCCTGTTGTTTAATGTTTCAGAACAAAGGACGAAAAAGAGGGAAATATAAGCAGAAGTTGGATGAAAAGGAGAAATCCCACATTGTTTTGAGTAACCAAAGATTATTTACAGTTTAGAGTTAAAGTATTAATAAGATTTGACAGCCAACACAGATGTCATTCCCTGAAGAAAAGTGGATTTTAAAAAATCTATTATGGGCTACAGGTGAAATCCAATACTACTCCAGCTGGAGAAGACTCACTGAAATCAATGCAGCAAAAGTCCGCTATAACTAACATGTCTTACTCTTTTCTAGGCATCTGCTCTGGGTAAGATTAATGTTGGGTTTAATTCCATGCAAAATATCTGTTTCTGATGTCGAAACTTCAGAATAACATTTCAAATCTGTTCCACTTAAGTCTTTAGCTCAAATCAAGTTGCTCCGGTATATTTAAACAATAAGACAGATTCATTAGGCCTACATCTTTCCAAAAAAGGCACCCATATAGCTCCTTCAGTACAACAACTTCAGTACAACAACTTCATTCGTTTTTCACAATTGAAACAGCTGGTGATGACCTGTCTATGCAGCCCTATACATCTAGGGTCCAGGCTATTCTTCAATACAAGCCTGCCTAAGCTTTGAGATCTACTGAAGGGGCCCTTTTTCACGCTTCCAACACCTTCAGAAGACCATTTCTTGGAGCAAGAAAAAGTCTCCTGAGTGACTGCTCTCAGGCACAGGAACACTTTGTCCAAAGAGGCTACCTCTATCCCCTCCCTTGCTGTCCTTCCTGCCAGCAGGCAAAGACCTTTTAATTTAGGCACATCTTTGGCAAACAGTAGCCTCAAACCAGTGAAGATTAGGTCCTTCTCTCATTTTAAAAACAATAGTTTATAATTTTAGTGCATTTTTATTTATTTTGTTTTTAAACTGTATTGTAAGTTGCCTTGAGTCCCAATTTTGGGAGAAAGGTGGCATGTAAGTAAAAAAAAATTAAATATATTTGGTTATAATTTATATTTTGGTTATAATTTATATTTTGGTTATAATTTATATTTGGTTGTAAATATATTTGGTTATAATTTACAACCAAATGTATACAATAATATGATTACAATTATATGATATAATACAGTGGTGACTTGCTTAACGAGCACTTTGTTTAACAATGAATTCGCTTAGTGATGTCTTTTTCGGAGTGTTTTTGTGCTCTGTTTAACGATGGTCCCTATGGGCAATTTTTGCTTAGTGATGCTGGGACCATGCTTTGCATAACGATTAAATTTTTGGGTTCCCTGTTTCACTTAATGATGGTTTAAACAGCCTCATGTTTGCTGTTTTTTAAATGTTATAAAGTTAGGTTTACTGTTTAAAATGTTTGAAATCATAAAGTGCACTTAATAAACCCTTTGTTAACCAAATTTGACTTTGTTCTGACTCTTTTTTAATTTGTTGTTGAATTTTCCCCCCACTGAGATGCATTGAATAGGTTTCAATGCATTTCAATTGGGGAAGTGCGTTTCACTTAGCAATGTTTCCTATGGCGATTTTCGCTTAAGGATGGCAATTCGTTCCTATTGGGATTATCCAGTTTTCAATGCATTTCAATGGGAAACCGTGTTTCACTTAGCGATGTTTTCACTTAGCGACGAATTTTTTGGAACCAATTAAAATCATTAAGCGAGGCACCACTGTATATGAGATAGGTTTGAACTCTGTGTCTACATGCACTGTTTCCATGCTGCCCCCCCCCAGGTGCAGAATTATCAATCAGCTCTTGGTACAGCTAGCCATACTATTTTCCCACTTTGTGCAAACTAGAATTGAAAAAAAGCACCACCACCACCAGCAGCACCAACAGCAGCAGCACTGTGGGGCACAAAAAAGAGAGGATCTGTGCAGGCACAAGACCTGAATATGTCTTGGCATGATAAGCCAAGTTCTGTTACAGCCAAACTACTTCAGGTTTTTTGCCCCAGCACAGCTATTGGATCAGAACAGAAATGGACCTAATTAGAAGTATTTGAAGAGGGTGTACTTTGAAATAAAGCCATATTGGTGATAATCTTAAAATAATCCAGAAAAGAGATGGCAATTGGCCAGCAAATGTGGAGCGAACAATGAATCCATAGGAACCTTTTCTTTCATGAACCTGAGGTGAAAATTAGTGGGTTGTGAAAGTAATTATTATGAATCCTGATGCAATCTCTCACACACAGGAGGAGAGCTAGCCTGTGCAGCCTTGGGCAAGCTGCAAAGTCCCAGGATGCCTCCACAGTAAACCACTGAGTACTTGAAAAAGATCCCCATAAGTCAGAAATGACTTGATCATGCATACACACAAACACACACACACACACACACACCCATTGGAAGATTCCAGGAATGGCAGTATGTCCTTTCAATAGATTACTCTCACACACCAATAACTCAAACACGAATGTTTTCAAAATAAAAGTGGACTTCTAGAGACTTCTGGTTTCATATTTTGGCCTTTTTGGTGGTCTGAGTGGCTCTTGCAGGGCCCTGAGAGCAGAAACTGGCCCTCAAACCTGCCAGTGTTGCCTTTCCTTGTTCCATTTACGTTTACCATTTCCTTCCTGAAATACATTTATGAAAGTTTCTAGAGTTAGCTCAGCTAAATCAGTGGTTCTTAACCTTTGTTAACTCGGATGCTTTCGAACTGCAACTCCCAGAAACCCCAGTCAGGACAGCTGGTGGTGAAGGCTTCTGGGAGTTGCAGTCCAAAACTCCTGAGTAACCCAAGGTTAAGAACCAGTGAGCTAAATTATGAGATTTATATACATCCTTACATCATATGAGACAAGAATTTTATGCACAGGAGAGTGTGCACAGTTCGGTCTTGCTCCTGTCCACTTTACATAAGACCCTCTCATCTCTGATATTCAGCCCCTAGATGGTCCTTGAATGCAGGCCTTTGCTTCCAATGGGGTTCCCCACATCTGATTTAAACTGACCAGAGTTTCTTTCACAAAAACCAAGCAAAGCTGTGTGGTATTACTTCAGGAGTAGCATGAAGCTATGATTAGCTTAATTCTTGTAGCAGATGTTTTTGGCCTCCTTACAGCTCCTTACAGATGGAGGAGATGAAGTCTAAAGCTCACTATTGCCATCCTAAACTATGTTTTAGAGGCATGCTGTTGCAAAAGGCCACCGATTTAGCCAGTGGAAGTGCTAATTTTATTTGAAGTTCAATTCCTATTAACTAACCACATTTAAAGTTCATGACAGTAATTCTCACCTTTTGAAAGTGCTTTTTCTTGCAGTAGACCTGGTAGTTCGTTTATTAAGGCCTGCATTGTCAGAAATGCTAGGTCCAGACTGTTTACTTTTCTGAACACTGGACTGCAGAATTACTCTGAAAAGAGTAGGAGAGAGAAGTTATATAAACCAAGCTGCAGAATATACAGTGGGGAGAAAAATGATATGGTATATGGTTTCACACAAGGATGCCTTTAAAAAGAATATTTGGGAACAAGAATGTCACGGTCTCCCCTTAGTGACTATGTGGTCTTAGTTCAATTCTTCCTTGCTTTAAAATGATTTATGTAGTAGTAGTTGTTTTTTTTTTGCGGGGGAGGGATAACTTCTTACAGGGAAAAGCATTGCTTTTATCTTTCCCAGGAATACCAGCAGCAACTTTATGAAAACTAATGCACACTCCTACATTCCACATTAATTGGATTGGGCTGGTCTTAGATGTGACACCCTAAGATAAATCTACTCAATATAGTCACTGGTTCTATGAAATATACAGAGTACAACAATAAAACCTTCTTATGTTGTACCACTAGAATTCCTGTTCAGGGAAGCTAGTACTTCTATATACTAATTTTGAATTGCCATGTGTTGTATGTCCAAAGAGTGAAGAGGAAACAAGTTCTTTAGTTTTCAGTGGACTGGATCAACTACTACACAGAGCAGAAATCTGAGGTACATGGGTCAAAATCATTGGAGGCAATTTTCACTGTAGTCTTCCTGATCCTCACCAAACATGGTTTTGAACAACTGGAAGACTGCCCAGAACAGTGTGTGGACTGGGGCTAGAGGATGCAGTGGAGAGGAAGAATCAGAAAAATGACAGCCCCTCTCCCTTCTGATGATGATAAGGTTCTACTATGATCTTGGTTTCCTTCTGCCAAATGGAAGCAGTGCCAGCTCTGAATCTGTCCAAATGTGTTTAATGAAGCAACATTATTGAAAAGCAAATACTGTACTCTCAATTATGCTTGCCTATTCTGAACATGGACTATTTTCTCTGGAATTTTCTTCATTCATCTCTCATTCATCGTGCAAAACAGAACTATCTAAAGCCACACATCTAAGCATATGAATGTGGTACCCCCCACTGGACTGTTAACATTTCAAGCTATGAATCAAGATGGATTTTATTTAAATCTAACTGATTTAAATCATGGTTCAAATTTTTAAAAATTGGATTTTTTTGACAATTTAAATTTAAAAATTGATTTTTTTAAAAAAATTATGATTTAAATCAATTTGATTTTTTTTAAAAAAATCATTAATTTTTATTCACCCTGCTATGCATGCTCATTTGGATTTCCATTCCTTCTTGAAATGAAGATGTTAGTCTAGCATGGCTCTGACAATGGCAAACTGGAATACTCTCCCTATGAAGGGCTGCCTCAGTCTGTTTCTGGGAGCTATTAAATGGAAATAGATTTCTGTTCAGAGAGAAGACAATGAATAGATGATTACTTATTTCTTTTTCTCAGATGGGGGAGATTATGTATGCTTTTAAAATTACTGCTGTGTTTTAAATGTTGTTTACTAATTTAGGCATATGGAAAACTTTAATCTAAATGTATTATAAGAACACAACTATAGAAAAAGTTCAGTTTTTTAAAACATCTCTTTTACAGAAAGAAAAATATTTCTGAAGTACAGTAGGACTAACGTATCTGGCGGGGTTCAATACCGATGGTTTCAATTATCTTTCTGGTTTTGTTTCCATTTGCAAAGAAAGTTTCCGCAGGATGAATTGTACCTGGAGGTTTGTAGCGCCGCCCCCATTTCTATGGCAATCTGCATTTCAGTTTACAAATTGTCTGCATTATGTAATGTTAAGAACACATTAATTTCGTAAACCGAGGTACTTCTCTCTCTCTCTCTCTCTCTCTCTCTCTCTCTCTCTCTCTCTGTGTGTGTGTGCAGTCTACTGTACTTCAGAAATATTTTTCTTTCTGTAAAGGAGATGTTTTAAAAAAACTCTCTCTCTTTCTCTCTGTAGAGGTTAGTAGGAGAGCAATTAAAACTTCCAAATGATAGGAGGCGAAACATCTTTTGGCCCTCTAGGTGCTGCTGGATTGCAATTTCCATAAACTCTGGCAAGAAAAGACCATGGTGCAGATGAGGAGGGCTGCAACCCAAGACTATGTGGGGATCACCAGTTGTGTGCCTTATGATAAAACTTTTCCTCCAGCAATAGCTTCTATCTTCAGGCACAATTGAAAAATGCATGTTTAGAGAGTAGTTCTGATGTAAGACTGTAACTGCAGTGCCAATGGTAAAGGGGAAAAAAGCTTAATCTTTCAGTGTAACTGAAAATATAGCAAAGGTGTGCTTCTATCCACTAGACTAGAACATCTTGTTTGGTTACAGTGTAGTTCATCACTGCTGTAAGCTAAAAGAAAACAAATGTATCACCAAGGTCTCTATAAACAAATAAATTCAAGTGTTCCAAGTACAGATAGGCTCAAGTATATATGTTGATCGTAACATTTACTGTATTTTTATAATTAAAATATAGGATGGTGCAACTTTTCAGTAATAACATTTAGGGCAAAAAATAACAAGTTGCATCTAGAAGGCATATTTAAAGAAACTCTATCTTGTTTTTGCAGGTTTGAATTAGCCGTTATGACATATTACACCAGGATGTATAAAAGGTAGCTTGAAGAACATTAAAAGCAAATAAAAGCTGTTGAACACAGCATAACTTTCTGATAAAGAGATATACAGGAAAATATGAAGTATTCAGAATGGCTAGGGGACATACCTCATTTTAAAAATTTGATGTAAGTTAAGTGACAAAGTATTATCATGTTCTGTAAATTCTGTTTTCATTACCCTCCTAAGTGAGAGAAACATTTAATGTAGGGCTCTAGACTGATATTCAGAACAATAACCCCAATCTAGAAAATAAATTTCTGTGTTTCTATCTGCCTGAGTGCAGAATATACTTTGCCTACAGCACAAATCTACTCCTGCTATCTGGAAGTAAGAGCCACCCTGTTCAATGTGCCTTAAGGTTAAATGAGCATCAGCTTGCAGCCTTAAGTGCCTCACCTGCCTCAGTACATGCTGTCTTTTTACATTTGGTCTGATAAAAATACCTATGCTAACCAAATTCTTTTCATACATATCACTCACTCATTCAAAAACACCACATTGCTACTACAACATTTTCACCACAGACTATCCAGGCTAGCACACAGACAAGAACACTCCTGAAATTATCTGGCAATTTTCAAAGGGGAATCCAAAGGCAATGCAAAGTCATTTACTGGACCTTGTTTGGTTTAAAAGAAGAAGAAGAAGGAAGCAATTAGAAAAGTTAAATGAACTCTTGCAAAGAAAAGAGAAGCAAGGAAAAGCTTTGTGCATGCATTAATGGATGAGGTGAGAAGGTGAGCTACTGTATAGAATGTAACAGGGACACTTACACAGTGGCTCTCTCAAGGGAGGTCCTGGGGAACCTATGTCCTTAAACCATCTAGACAGTATAGTAGGTTGGGAAGAAGGGAGCCACACACAATCCACCAGATGACAATGCTACTCAGGGCAGAGACCAGCATAGCTAGGAGACATCTAAAAAAGGGTGAGGGTGGGGAGGAGAAGATGAACATGAAATCAAAGGGGGGGGGATATTCAAGAATTTTAGAAATGAATGGTACAACATTTCAGCCAGTTGCCATTTAAGAAGAAAAATTTCTATCAACAGTGACTAGGGAAAGTATTTTCCACCCTGTGCTCCAAGGCCATACTGTTTTTTTTTCCCTTAAAGAAGAGTACTTTTTTCCCCTTCATTTCAATTTAACTAAAATGGTTAGATTGGAAATACCTCCAAAAACTAATAATGATTCTACAAATCACCTTCCATCTCAAAAAAACTGCCTCAATGGGAACATAAGGTTAGCGTTGTTAAAATGGCATTTCAAAAATGGCCACAAAAACTTGATAAATTCTCTCCACAGGATGCTCAGTTGTTTCACTAATATAGTAATATTATATCTGATCTAATGCCAACAGACGCCCATGCATGCACATATACACGTTATACAAAACAGCACAGAGACACGCATTGCTTTTTGACATTTAAAATTGTATTTCAAAAAGCATGTGTTTGGCCAGAGGCATCTTTTTCCACAAATGAAAATGGACATGGCAAAGGAATTTTTAATAGTGACACTTTCACATGTCACAATCTATTCTAGCACAGGGAACAACCTTTCTCAGCAATTCTCCTAAATACAGAACCCCTGAAAGCAAGAATCTTCTGACAATAATGCGCATGAAAAACAATCTAAAAATATTGTTTTAAGGCAGCTGACTCTGCTTTAAAAATAGACAGTGGGCGAATGAAAAGCTTTTTAGGTGTTAATGTAATGGGCCAACTTAAGGAAGTATATTGTGGTCTGGCCAATGGACTTAAAAAATTAGAGAATGCAACCCTCACCATGACAGAGAAGTGACAGGTTTTGAGAACACGAAACACAATGAGAACACTAGGATATTGTGGCAAAAGACAAAAAGAGAACACTTACATACTGAAGAAATGAATTAACAGGCACTTTTTTGAAATGAACAAAAATATAAGGAATGTCAGTCTTCAAGAAAGCGGCAAAGAGGCAAGCAAAATAAATTAATGGACACAAGCAAAATAAAATTAACTTACGTTAGTGGGACTAAGTTTGCTTTTGCCTGCCTTTTACTTTTCAGAGCACGAAGTTTATCTCCTTGCGTAACTGTGTGTGTTTCTTCTTCATCACTGTACTGTAAACAAATGGTAAACCGCTGGAATTATCTAAATTAAATGTCAGAGTCATAATACTGAAAGATCAGATTTAATACATATAATCTGTGAATTGAGCTTTGATTCCAACACATCAACTGATTTTATTTTATGTAATTTTTTTAAAAAAACTTTTCAATGTTTTAATGTCTTTGTGTATTTAGTTGTTTACGGAAAGTATCAAACTAAGAGGATGAAATGTTTGTATACAGAAGACAACCACAGCAACTGTAAAAGAAAGAAGGATTTCAGTCATTTGGACACACATTTTTGAGTGGAACTCCTCCTGCTTTATCAATGCTGAAATGTGTGTACACATCTGTTTTATAACCCAAGTTTTAAGCCGAACTATTACACCCATACCTCAGTTTGTAGAACGTCTTTTCATCCTGTTCATTAGTTGCATATTTCCCCTTAATCTTTAAATGCTTATCAGGAAAAGGAATACAAAAGAACATACAAACGAAATGCAACCACTCTTTCCTTTATTATGCCTATATTTTTTATAGCAACACCCTAAGATTTACAACAGCACAACATTCGGATGATTACCGGTTCTGAATCTTTTCTGTTGACATTCTGATTTTTGGAATCATTAATTGAAATGTCATCTACTCCCGAAAGGATTTTTGTAACAGCAACTTTCTGCGTCTTCCTTAGCTTTGCACGAAAAATATCACCCTCCAACCAAAGTTCTGACTGTTTTCTATTAAGGAGAGAAAATGTGTTAATAATCAACTAGTTCATGACCACATTTATAATCCAATCAAGTAACTTAATGAGAGTGCATTGGTCAAGCACTTCTCCTGCTACAAACTCAATTATGAACAACAGTTCAAGTGATGATTCTGTCTACTGGATTGTACCCAACTGTCATGGCTCTTCCATTTGCCAAAATGCTTTTGGTCCACCACAGGTTTCCATTACTGAAAAAATAGGTGATTCCCTCCCCCACCCCATCTTCTCCTTCTGCAGCTCCTCTAAAAATTGCTCTGGAGGAATGTAACACCCTGTGGAACAGTATGGATGTTCACATTTTGGACTTTTTTTGTTTACCATTTTTAGTGTGGTATTTGTTTGATTCTTTTAAATATCTGCATACTTACTGTTTATTTGGTTTTAAATATCGTATTTTAATGATGTAAGCTGTGTTGGGTCCTTTTAAAGGAGAAACGGAGGAGTAATTTTTTTTAAATAAAGCAAATAAACAAACAAATAAACGTGAGAGCTTGTTGATGAAAATCTTCTCTGCCCCTTCCATCAGCAGAAATTCTGCCAGTTCAAAAGCCTATCTGCAAAAAGAGGGTTGCAGCAGCTGACATAGCCCTCAATGGTTAAAAGTAATGCCAACTAATATATCATACCAACCCTGGGAATTTTACTGAAAGAGAAATATTTCTGGATACAGTTATTTTTGTCTTTGCGTAATTAAGACAAATTTCAATATGGCAAGTCAAGATGATTATTATCTGTCTGCTGACAGGCTTAGTGGGACAAAGACAGGCTGCTGAGGGAACTCTACTTGTCATTCATAAGAACAGCAGAACTAGTCCCTGCTACAAAGGGAAACAAACTATTGCCAAACCTTAGGCCTCTGTAGGCATTTAGAACATGGGAGCAGGGAGACGACTTGTAGCCCTACTGCCATCTGCTGCATTCTTCACAGGAAGGGATCAGTCTAAAGAGGAAAGTCTCTGTTTCATGTGCGGGCTCCTCATGCTGTTGAGGACCCTGAAAAATAAGGATTCCTGACTACATTGGGGGGGGGGGGAAGTTCACATATACAGCAGCCTCTGCCCTCTTCAGACTCTCCTTCATATGGTGACAATGGCAGGCAGGAGGAAGGCTAGGGATCCATGTCTGTTTCTTTATTCAGGTCAACCCCTTTCTGAATACCTGAACAACACTCTTCTTTCTGCCCCAAGAAGCCAGAGATATACATAACTTGTTCCTAGGGCTATTTTAATGGTTTATCAGGGATGAGTATTATGTTGTGTCTTGCAAGATTAGGATGACATGTTTTTTTTGAAAGCACAAGGAGAAGATCTGTGGTTTACTTTAGTTGTTCATTCTTGCAAAAGGGGTGGTGATCACATACACTCGTTCACAAAAGCCAGAATTCTTTAGATATCCTTGTGCACCCTTTGTATCATTAGCCTAACCCAATTAAGCACATTAGCCACTGAATACTGCTAATAGTGTGAAAAGTATCAAAACAGATAAACACCACCAACTATAAAGATTTGATTATAGGTTGCCTGTATTATAATTTCTGTCACAATTCACATGTCAAGTTGAGCAAGTAAGCCGCAGCAAGGAACAAAAAACAACCCCAAGCAGCATTATAAAGGTTGAGAAAGGTTCTTTTCAAGAATACTTGATAAATGCTTCACTCTCATTGATTTACAGGGTCCCAACTGGATAAGACCCCTCAACAAAGAATTACCAAGTCCCTATGTGATTCCTCCCCTCCAGAGGAGGGTGAGAGAAACATTGTTAGGGGGTTTCTGGTCCATGTTTTTGTAATCTGTGCAAATTATCTCTACAAAACACTCTCCTGTCATTGGACAAGCAAAGGATCATGTGCAGTACACATAGACTGCTTCTGGACTGTTAAAAAAAAGGGAGGCACTGTTCAACAAGATGGTTGTTGAAAAAAGAGGCAAATTACTCCATTTGATGGTCCTGCTCCTCAAAATGTCTGTGTAAAGTATCTGATTTTGTCATTTTCTGCATTCTGCATCACTTGTATTAAAGGATTATTTTATATTAAGCATTAGTTGCATTATTTTGATTACTCTGAATAAGAAATTGTTCTCTTGTACTGATAAGAATACCTGATGTTCTTGTCAGTGAGAAAAGTACTTCTGTTGTTCTTCATCTTCACATGCAAGGCCAAGATATCTGAGGGTTTACATCCCTCATCAAGATAATGGGTGTTCTAGGATTCTATTTACCTTATTCTATACATATATTCCAGAAAATAAGATGCTTATCGCATATGTGTGTGATTCCAGGGGCTAGGGCCAGCACCAACATTCCTCACTACTTGCATTAGCATTGACTTAAATGCTCTAATTAGTACATGTGCTTATAATTTTACTTACTCTAACAAGAAGTGCTGCTGTGATCCAATCACAGAGCCAGGTCTGCAAATCCTAATCCAAGCAATAGCTTCAGCTGCAGTCATTCTGTAATGCTTCATAATGTAACAGGCTATAAGTGTGCCGGTTCGGCCAAGTCCAGCTGTGTAAAACAAAAGAAAGTTCATTCTTGTTCAATCTTTTGTACACAGGTCCTCATTCAAGCTTTAAGCCAAGGGTGAGGAATGTACAGCCCAGCAGAGGTTGCAGGAGTATAATAGCCATCAACTCAAGCTAGCACAGCCAAGATGGATAAATGATGGGAGCTGCAGTGCAGTGAAATATCTGAAAGTTCACTGCAATCTCCAGTCCTGTTCTGACATTAGCAAGACAAACCCAGTAATTGTTGTATGTTGCCCATCCACCCAAATAATTTAGGTCCCACATTCCTTCAGTGTTTACAAAAGTCACATTTTTTTACTGCAAGCCCCCAAAACCTGTAGCCAGTATGACATGGATTTTGGGAGTTTTAGTCTCTTGAAGGAATTTTTCATAACACTGTCTTAAATAAGTGATTTGCAACATGAAGTCCCATCTATGTCCCATTTGTTAAAAATGAGGACTGTGGCTCAGTAAAAGAAGGTCTTTGTTTCATTCTCTAGCATTTCAAGTTAAAATAATCAGGCAGCAGGTGATGTGAAGCACCATTATCCACCCGCGACGTGGGAGAACCACACTAGGCAAAGCGGACAATATTGGTCAATGAGCCTCATGGTGCAGTGGTTACACTGTTGTACTGCACCCAAAACTCTGCTCGTGACCAGGGTTCAGTCCCAGGCAGCTGGTTCAACGTTTTCAGACTTCCATTCTTCTGAGACTGGGAAACTTGCTGGGGTAGAGTGGGGCAATGTGTAACTTGCACAATTAAACTACAAAACTGCCCAAAGAGTGCTTTAAGCACAATGGAACAATATATAACCAGCATATATTAGATGGGCTAATGGCTTGATTTGCTACAAGGCAGCTTCCTACTTCTCTTAGAGTGTAAACAGCTAGGGAATGAACAAACCCAATATTGTATGGCTGTTCTCAGTTCCCCTGTATCTAAATTGCTCTTACCAGATCATCTCAGAAAGAATATTTTATACATGATTAATTCAGTTTCAGCAGCACAGATTAATATCTTGAAATGGTTTATAGGATGGATCCAGTGGCCCCCTGAGATTCCCATGAATGCTTGACACTCCTAGAAATTAAGTGGGAGCAGTTTTTCTCCTCCTTGAAAGAATAATATAATGGGTAATGGAGGCTCTCACAGAGGTTAGAACAGCTCCTCTTTAAACTACTGTTTTTGAGCTGCGGCTTCCGTGATTTTGTCCGAGGTGAATTCTGGGAGCTACCCTACAAAAGAAACAAAAGCCCCATGTTTACTAACCACTACCAGGTGATGGAGAGGGATGCTGAAAGATGTAGTCTAACAATAACTGAAGGGCCACAATTGCTCACCATGACCTAAAACTTGTTTGATCGTAAGTTTCCAGGTGGAATCTGGCAAACAAATGTCAGTATTCAAATGCCAGAGATCACAGCAGTTTGACACAAGATGGAGGAAATGTTACCCTTCAATGTTTAGAGAAGTGAGAAATTCTCCCATTACATAAAACTTCACTTTTTCGAAACAAAGAACTAATTGTGATTCAAATGATTTAAACATGCAGCACAAGGCAGTACTCAAGATAGATAAACCTCATGAAGAGGCAGGGGTTCATAATGCATTTTACGCACACTATTATAAAAAGATATAATCACTTGAATTCACCTTTGCAGTGAACTGCTATAGCACCCTCAGAATTTTCACAAATATTTAAGAATGTTTTGACAATGGTATCACTAGGTATACTTCCATCAGCAAAGAACAGATCATAATGTTCAAAGCCGGCATCTCTAAATCGCCTTGCATCATACATTCTCTTATTCAAGCGAATTACAGTGGAGATATTATGTTTTCTGAAGTAGGGAAAATAAGCCTCAGGAGCATGATGTGGATAACCTAGAAAAAAAAGAAAACACAGAAGAAATAATATTCATGGCAGTGTGGATAGTAGTGTCTTGCACATCACCAAACCCAAGACGTCAAACCCAAATATTTTCTTTTTCAAATAATTTTTTTCCTTAGCTGATAATGCAGTAAATTAAGTATAAATAGCCCTATTTTATGTCTGCTTTGTATTCCTCCTTTCTTTTAACCAGGAGAGGTGAATTGTCCGTCCAGAGATGTCTGCATGTAGCTGAAAGAGGTTCAGCTGGCCTACATTTCTCTTCTCTCCCTCCTTCCAATGGTGTGCCCTTGGAGGGTACTCTGAACAGAACCCCCACAGTCTCCTATCACTGACTGGATCTTGCAGAAACTCCCTCCCTGACTTCCCCACACAGGAGAGGGATAAGAATTAAGGAATCATCCCCCTCACCCAATTGCAATTTCCCATCTTGGCTTTAAACATACCATTTTCAATTCTGCTTTTTGAATGAGGTCCACTAAAGGCAAGGAATTTTTTTGGTATTATCCAGTTAAAGTCCCCATTTTCTGCCCTCTGTCAAGAAAAACAAAATAAGACTGTTTACCACATCTCTAAAATATCCCTGAGGTTTGATATATTTGCTTCAGTGAACAGAGTGAAGATGACAAGGAATGCTGATGTAAGGTTTTGCAGTATAAGAAACGTGTACCTCCAGTTTCAGCTGGGATTATAAACCGCATGCTCTCACATAGTCATGCGACACCCTTAAGTGTATTAAAACATCTTTTGATTATTTACCTTACTTTCCTTGACTCCATATTTTTAGATATAGACTATCTTGAAAACAGAAAAAATCAGAGCTATAAGTAATGCATGCCAGTTTTATGCCAAAGACAGTCTCAGCAGTAATTATATATAGTCAGCAATAAACAGAGGGTACTTACCTCATAATGCTCATATTCCTCTGCATCAAATGTATTGAAATCGAGGAAGCCATACTGCAAAGCCTGAAAATCAACAGAAGACCAAATTAAACAATCAGAAGTCATGCAGAAGAGATACTGAGAATATCATTAGCAAGTCTCATTCACCAGTCAAAAATACACTTACCTTCCCTATCTGAATTAAAACTTTAGGGAAATACTCTAAAAGGACTACAGAAATGTCACTGCAAACAAGTGTGACTAATGAAGTGAATCCAGGAAGGTATGATGTTCTACTTGCACAATGAAGATCATCCCACCTCCCTGCCATCTAATTAAAAATAATCAAGATTTTCACTGGCCATCTACTGGCCAATGAAAATCTGCTGGGGGGGGTGTCAGAGGACCTTCTGGAATCCAAAGCTGTAACTAAGAATTTTGACATCTGGGGTTTCACTGCTTTATGGACTTGACTTAGGTCACACAAGGTTTACAGGACAAAAGGAGGGGTTGGAATGCGTCAGGCTAGGTGCACAAAGTACCCACTTCTTTTGTGTTTCTTTCTGCCTGTGGAGGAGCAGTGAAAGCAATTTAAACACTTGGGACGGGGGAGGGAGGTTCTATCCTTCCAACTGCTAATTCCAACAGACAGGCAGGTATCCTTCTATCAGTTTGAGCCTTCTTAATTTTGACACACTGCATCAAGGCTCCAGCAGCAACCTCCCTGCCCATTCCACTTATGGGCATGCTAGATTTCAAATAATCAGGGAACAGGGAGCTGGGAACAGGGAGCTGGAGCAACAGAAGTGGAATGATGAAACTGGGATCTTCTATGCCTGGAAGTGCCTTCCAGATTTTGTAAGACATCTTTGGGTCCAATTCACTGTCATTTAGGCTTGCCATCTCTTTCTTAGTTCTTTAGTCTTTCTGCCAGTAGCATTTTAAATTTACAGCTGTTCAGAGTTCCATGCAGTTTTCAGTGAAAGGGTGGGGGGAAGCTGTGACCATCCAGGGTATAAACCCTAAAACATTTGTCAGACCCACTTAGCATAACCAGTAGCATTGATAAAGGACTGTAGGAATTGTGTAAAGATCCAAGAGGTTCCCCATACCAGACATAGGCTTCGAGGTCAGTAAAACATGGATTTTACTAACCTTATTTACTGCATGAAAACAGTCAAGCAGTGTTAGGTGAAAACTGCAGGTACCAAAGGCAGCATCCCTGCAAGAAACACATACCTAATCTCAGTTTTTCGATTATGTTTGTTTTGATTGTTGTCAACAAAAGAACAACAAAAGAACAACAACAAAAGAAAAAATAACTATCAGGTCAAGTACAATGAAAAATATATTGCTTCAGTGATTAGAGTGAATAACACATTGGCATATCTATTCAGTCAACTGTTGGTAAATAGAACACTCTCATGTGTAACTAATTCTATTTCTTTTTGTTAGATTCCTATCAAAATGGCACCCAGCATTAATGACTAATTTGATAACTAGGTTACCTTAAGAAACTAATATGAAATATTCTGACATTTCAACCAACTGAATAATCAGACAACTACGTACCTCCAATAAGGTAAAGCTGGAGTTTAGACCCCAGGTAGATCCTATGCACGTTCTCCTAGGACTAAACCCCAGAACAACTATCCCATCTTTAGCAGGACTGAAATATGAATCCCAAGAAGCTGAGTAGGACTTATTTCCAAGTAGATATGCATAGAATTCTGCTTATATTTCTATTATAAAATATACACTATTCATTTCTCAATTATTGCACACATGTTCACTTCAAACAGGGGTGGAGCACTTTTGTGGTTCCTGAAGGCAAATGTTCACTCCAGGGACCCTTCTAGGGCCATAGAGATTGCTAAAAAAATGTCAAAAAATGAAACTGTTAGTAACTAGTGAAAAGTGAATCAACAGGCTTCCATAGGGCTGCAACTCACTTTTATTTTTGTTTTATTTGCTAGAAAAAGAGAGGGCTGGGTGAAGATAAGGGGTGCAAAGATAGCTGCTGAGGGGCACATTTTGTTCATCCCAACCTAAAATACCCATTCCAACCTAAAACGTCCAAATTAGACATTCATAAAAAGAAATGTTTTGAATTATGTCTCAGTGCTATCTCTTAACCTACAACATAAAAAACCCTATAATCCCACCAGTGTTAGATATTTCATTACTAGATCTGGTTAATCATCAGGATTTATGGATGACAGGGTTTCCTAGGGAACCTGTTAACTAAAATAACTAAAACAGTCCAATAATGATCAAAATAAAGAAAACCTAGTTCCCAAGCTTCTGAAACACACCAAGAAATGGAGTTCACATAACTGTGTGGCTGGGGACAGTTGTCTGTGTCCTCAGTCCCCCCCACGCAATCTGTGAGAGAAAGTAAAGGGGCTACCATCTGGGGCCTCACAGTCAGTCCTATTTGGGCACAATTTAACAACAGCATACAGAGAATGAAGAATGACAGCATGCCACACAGCATCAGCACCCCCTCTATCCACACACAGAAGAGGAGGTGGGAACATTTGAGAAAGTTCATTCCCATCCAGGACTGCAAGCTCTCCATTACACACATTTCTCCCCTGTGCATGGATGGCTGAGGGAGGCCAACAATGGTATAACCCAGAGGCGTAGGTGCAGATTGAGGAAGTGGACTTGCCCATTAAAGTTCACATTAAAATATAACAGTCTTTAAGGTGCCACAACTTTTTTACCTTCTTTATTTTTCTTTTCTTTTTCCTGAAGTACAGACACGTTCTACATCATGGAGGCATACATACCATGCACCTAACTCAAAAACAATGATATCCTCCTCCTGCCCATCACTGAATTTTCACCCCTGGTTTTAATGTTGCGAAAGGTAGTTAACTAACTAGATAAAATATGAGGACAGAACATCTCCTCTCCCCCAGAGAAAGCTGAATTTTCAGAAAGAATGCTCCCAGAAAGCACTGGGGTAGGAACAGGAAACTTGGGTGGCGTTTGGCCTAGTTAAGTCTCAAGATAGCTAGAATTCCCAGAAAGGAGAATAATGGTATTTGTAATCCAGAAAACCTCCCATCTCTGCCACCTGGCTGTCTCGCAATGCTGTGTCCAAGGCCTGATGGTCTCTGTTCCTTCCAACCAACCTCTGCGATACCTGACCTTTCCTGATTTGCCACAGCTCTGTTTTACTTGGCCATCATCTCACCTTGCCAGACATTTATGCTGTTTTATTTAATTGCTAAATTGCTGACTTTGAAACGAGGCAGATTGAAATCCTCAGATATTAGAAGGGCTGTATACGTTTTGAAACAAACAAATAAACAAATAAACAAACAGAGTAGATTACTTTCCTGGACGATAGAAAGTCAGGGTCTAGTTGTAGGATTTCCAGTGCATTGTACGGGTGGAAATTCAGCTGTAATATGAACAACTTTGGTTGTTCATTCTTTAACTGCACATTACACAGGATTCTATCTCCTGCCCCTTTTAAGAGATGCAGGAATTAGGGCTTTATGAGCCACATATAAAAAGGAACTTCAAATAGCCAGGGTATGATTGTCTCCCCATTAAAAAAAAAGATGAAAAAAATATTGTTTTTAAAGACTAGATGATAAGTACATGCTTTTTATTTACCTGAAAGGAAGATATGAAACATTTCCAGATAATAAGTGCCTATATATGGTTTCTGGAGATTCTTTCAGATATAGGATCTATTTCAGAAAGAAAAAGAAAAATGTTTAGATAGTGCTTTTAAGGACTTAACTTCAATATGCAGTATTGTTTTTTTAAATAAGTCTCCCACAGAAGCAGGATACTGTATATAGCAGAAGGTAACATGTATGCAGCCTGGGAAACCTAGTAGACACAATGTAATATAGGTATCTCCTTGGAGCCAATAATAAGACAATGGAATTGCAGTGCAAACTGTTACACATATGTTAAGTACTCTTCAGGCTGCAGGTTTTGTAACATTTTGTAACATTTTCCTCAGAACCCACAAGTAACAAGATTCATTAAAGCTCTTCAGGCTGCAGGTTTTGTAACATTTTCCTCAGAAGCCACAACCTGATGCATCACCTAGCTGGTGATTTTAAGTAACAAGATTCATTTAACTTGAATTTGCAGATTTAACAACATTCTGGCATGTATGCAACTGAGCCCAAGGTTCTGGTTGCACAGCATTTCAAACAAACTGTTCTCACCATGTGGCACCACATCCATGTAGAAATCATATCATACCCATAAAGTATCAGTTGAGCTCAGCCACAACCATCAGTCTTCGCCTGATTGTAAAGGTTAGATCACCATTCAATATTATCTGTATTTCTTACTTCACAGTAGGATAAACCGAAGACTTTGGGAAACATAAAACTAACTTTGTCAAAGTCATACCCACTGGATTACTAATATCTTAACTGCTTCCACCAAGGCAAGATATGAACTGTGATTATCATCATACCACCTTAAAAATAAATCACGTATACTTAATAAAAGCAAATATATGCTCCCTTAAGAAAACACAAAGAACTACATAAAACATTGTAAATCAGCAGATGCACGTTTCTACCAAATTTTAACCAAATAAAAAAAAGTTGAAATAGCCTGAATATTAGCTGTTATAATTTTTTCAACCAGTGTCTCAGAACAACTGTATTCTCCTTCTAGGAGGCTACAATTACAGGTGAAATCTAATTCAGTTCCTGCAAGTCTCGATTATACAATTAGCATTCCCAAGACAATACTGCTCTATACAAGGTAATTATGCATAACATGGATTGAGGCTGCAGGCCATGTTTCAAGAACAGTCAAGTCCTGTTTTGATGAACAGATGTTACACTCTTAGCAACAAAACAAGCTATTACCATCAACCTTGAAGGGAAGGTTCACTGGCCATATGCTCTGGTACAGTCAATGCATAACAACAGCACTCAAAGATTTTGGAAACCAGAGGCTTTGCACTGAACAACCAACATCAGGAAATTAGCTACTGTGGGTCCCGTTGGAACCTGTCCCAGAGGCTTGGTGGCTGAAAAGTCTCCTAGCAATAGTTTCATGGGTTCTATCTTGGTTTTGTCATGCACAACAAATTTTATTAAAGGTACAGAGTCAGCCCTCTTTCCCCATGCTCCCAGGGGTTTTTGAGCTTCTGGCAGTAACCCCTGGGGGCACATTTTGTCTGATTGGGACCCCAGTTAATTTCACTGGAATTCTTGAAAGTCCAGGTCTGGAGAAGTGGGTGGAAAAATATGAGTTCCAATCTGAGATACTTTTATGTCCTTTTATGGAGGGCTGATAAAGGCAGATGATGGAGACCAGACTCTGTGGTACTGCTTTTCCTGGAGCCTCCTTTGCCCTGCCTGTTACCACTTGTGTCTCCAATGCTGAAATTGGATTGGGGCAAGCTTTACAGCTCCTGTTGGGCAGGAAGGACACCAAGGCTGGGGTGGTGCTGGATCAGAGCCTTAGCTCCCTGAGCCCTTTACCAGTTAAATGGGCTGGGGGAGGTAGCTCACTTGTCCTCTATTCCTGTTTGCACCTCTGTGGAAGCACAGAAGATGTGGCCCCAGTGCTCGACTGCCTCTTCCCATGTCTCTCCTGCATCTGATGTGGTTGACAATGATAATCCTGAGCCATGAAATCCAATCCTTTTATTGTCACCTCTCCTCTTTCAGCTGTCCTGCATCAGGCAGTGGCCTTTCCTCCACCTGCAGCAAAACATCCTTGCTGGCTAGGGACACAAGAGAGTTGCTTTATCCTGGGTTCCCCTAAGTTTGTGGGGCAGAACCCAGACAAATGTGCTGGGGATGCCCAAGGCAAGTTTCTCACAGCTACAAAATTCTAACATTAACAGTCAGACCACATTTTTAATGTAGTACCTGAATGAAAATTCATTAAAAACAGTCAGGTAGATCTGCACTGCATGTGGAAGTGCATGCACATGAGGGGAGCACTATGTTTTGCAGATGATACAATTAACACAACTTCCTAACAAAACCATCTACATGATATTTTGATAGAAAGCTGCAAAGGCAGCTGAAATATGAGGCCAGTACAAGACATCTTTTAAATGGAGAATCCATTCTTTTGAAAGCCAGCCTTCCCAATAAAGCAACTGATAGCCACCATCTTAATCCAGGTGCCCAAGGCTGTCTCCACATCATGCTGTAAGATAACAAGGACAGTTAGCTGTTATAAGCACTTCAGTGCAATCCCTTGGTGTGGCTCTTATGGCAGCTATTCTTTCTCATCTTTTCAGGGCTCAAATATAATGGGTTCAACAAGTTGCATTTTCAATAAGATAGGGTTGAGCTATCTGCTGGCCTCCAGATGTGGGGTTGCAAGTCCAGTGGTAAAGGATGGTGGGAGCAGCAGTACAAACACCATCTGGAAGGCCACAAATTGCCCAAGCACTTCATAAGAGATGGTCTAAGGCAGTGGTTCCCAATGTTCTTGAACTACTAGTCCCAGAAATCTAGGTCAGCAAAGCTACTGGTGAAGGCTTCTGGGAGTTTTAGTCCAAGAACAATCTGGGGATCCAAGACTGGGAACCACTGCTGCTCTAAGGGGCAATACATACAGGTCCATCATGGGGACCCATGATGAAGTTATGGGTTTCCTACATGGCAAGTGTAACCCATGACAAGTGCAAATAACATACATGCTGGAAGAATCTGAGTGTACGTGTATATTCCAGGCCATTGCAGGCTGAAGATCAGTTCCTGAAAGCGGTCTCTTTCACTGTCAATGGAGTCTTGCTGCATTAATCAAGTTGGAAAAATTCAGATGACTAGCTGAACATAAGCAAAGCAACTAGTTGCTCCTGCCACATTTCCTGGCTAGGCAGCTTTACAGCCAGGTTTTTGTTGTTGTTGTTGTTTTTAGTGGCACTGGCTCAAACTTCAAAACAAGGCTACACATATTTGTAATTTCACATCAACAACAGTTCAATTAGGTCCTTTAGTTTCTTTGAGACTTTGCCCGGAAGCCAGTACAGCCATAGTACGAGCTGCTTGTAACCACAGTTGAAAGATCCCAATCTGACCATACAAGCCCTTCCTGAAGCCTTCTCTGCTTTGATGTGGACTCCCATCTTCATGGTGAATGGTGATGCAGTGACAACCATGAACCTCTGTGAAGGAAGCTAAAGGGCAAGGATGTTGGCAAATCCTGGGGCCCAAATCTGAGCCCTGAGACCAAGTTGCAAATTGTTTGCCCCAACCCCCTCAGGTTTGGTACTCAGGACTTGATACCAAAGACTTGGGCTTCCCACTGCACTCCCAGCTGCCTGTTGCTGCCTCTGTTTGGCTGCTCGTTCCCCCCATGCAGGCAGGCCTTCTGAAACGGGAGGATGGCAAAGGATCTTTCACTGTGACATTCTAGCCTGCCATACTCTGAAGGCAGGTCCTCCAACCCACCACTTCCTGCAAGTCACCCTGGTGAAGCTCTGTGGCAGGCGGGTCAGAGGACCTGCCCTCCGACTTTGGCAGACGAGAGTGGCAGTGTGAAAGGCCCTCAGACACAATGCCTTTGAAGATGGCGGCAGCCACAGCAGGAGCAGATAGGCCAACAGGGGGAGGGAAGCACAGGCACTTGACAACATGACTTGGACAAATGAGTCTTGAGTTGCAAGTCACCCCAGAAACCACCAAGTTGAATCCATGTCAAGTTATAGGTGTGACTTAAGTCTGACTCGACTGAGTTGCAAGTCCTGAGTCCCCATCCTTGCTAAGTAGAGTCATGTGCAACAAAGAAACGTCATTCCTGATCCATTAGCCATGGTTAATAGCTGGGTAAACAATTCATCGGCAGAAGAGTCAAGTTGTACATTTAACTAACGTTTCTAATTATTCCCCTAGCCAGTCAAATATTATTCAGTGTGTGTCTGTGTGGGATTAAACAACAAAACAGGAGTAAGAATTTAAAATAGACGCTTCTGTGACAAAGAGACAGACCTATGAAAGGAAAGCAGGCCTTTTTTTAGTGAGGAGAATTAGAAATCAAAACTGGTTTGTTTGTATGTGTTCCTTGTCATCTACAGTTACTCACAACTCCTTATAAGAACTACAAAAGGGAGGAAGCCATCCACAAAAGACAAAGGAAATAGTGTACAAAAATCATTATCCTTAGCTAAGGAAAAAGGCACAGTTTATCAAGTAACACTACAAACTGAATTCACGGGAAACATCCTAAACTATCATAAAAACTTGCTAATGTATATATAAAAAGGCAAACCTTCTTGAAAGGATAAAGGACTGAGTAATGGTATCACCCTAGGGAAAAATGACACACAGCAGCATTAACTGAAATACACATTCATAGGAAGGGAACATTTAAAGAAATATAGCACAAACACAGATTTCAGATTTAATTTAAATGAAAAGAAGGCTATGAAGTCCTACATATACAGTACTGCATATGAAACAATCTGCTTGCATTACTTCTCATGCATTAACCTAGAAATCAAAACAGATTTTTATTGTCATATATTTAATTTCAGCTACTAATGGAGAGTTAGATATTTGAATGCTGCATAAAAGAAGATGCTCCTGCTTCAATAGCTCCATCTAAAATAAAGCTAAATCTAGAAACGGCGGCAAGTGGAACCTAGAAAGGATTAAGAAGAACCACAAGAGGTGAAGGAAACGGCTTACCCTGAAGGAAGAAGATGAGAAAATAAAGTACATAGAGATGAATCCTGGAGAAGATCACC